CAGAATCGGATTTGGTACTGGAGGTACTCCTGATGACAAAAACTCGTGTGGAAACCAGAAAATCAGAGCCATGGGATACACCCTGGTCCATTAAAAAAGAACTGACAAAAAAGAACACAAATAGACTATCTTATTCAATGGGGCCATTGACAATGCACTAGTTTTTTTAAGTGAAGGCGCTTTATAAAACTACGCGAGATCATTGTAAAACAACGCAGTCAGTAAACCATGCAATTGTACGTTCAAAAAAAAACAAATCAGTAAACTATGCAGCTATTTAAAAAATGTAAAGAATTGTGGTAAGCTTCGAAGTGTATAAAAAGAACGGATGATGTGATGGTATGGAGCTGCGAACATACCAGAGAAAATGTTGCAGAGACTCGACAAGTTGCGACGACATGAAGCAGGGACAAAATTAGGCAGTGTAGTTAGAGCATTATTAAAAAAAAAATACCCTGTAATAAAGCGCTTGTCAAAAGCTGTACTTCTGATTGCGTTCCATTCAACTGATACAAAGGATTCCAGTAGGGGAGGCGGGGGGAGAAGTCGGCTGAGTAATATATCAAATACGAAAGACAGTGTTTGACCACATTTCCAAACACTGAGAAGAGAGTTGAAAATACGAGGCTTAGCGGGGTATTTTTGACGAACTTCGAGGTGTTTGGAAATGTGGCCAAGCACTGTCTTGCGTGTTTGATATATCTTCTCAATCGAAACTAAAACTAAGGAGAAAACGGAGAAATAAAATCGTAAAAACCTATGCTAATTAAGATCAGATATCCAAACACCGTCACGGTCATGATTTCCTTTGTTTAAACTTGATGAATTATTAATGCATTTGAGAAGGAATATTCAAGCATCATATCATATTTATAAGGGAAACATTTTTGAAATTACAAACTAGTTACAAAATACAGAGCTTTGAGCCACCTGCATTGCAATTATAGTACTAACACTAGTATATGAATATGCTACGAGACTTGATTCCAGTCTATCACCTTAAGTGTAAATCCGTTTTTCAGAATGAAAAAATAACGCTATATAATTATTTAATTGAGGCATTAAGATTAAGCTACCATTAACATCCAAATTTCAAGCCCGGAGGCGGTCTAACCACTCGGTACGGTGCCTCCATTGCAAATGAAATGGCTTATATACTGTAATAGTTTCCTGCTAGCAAAATCTAACTGCGTTGTACCCTGTGCGTACAAATAACCAGAGTCACGCAACACCAACACCTTGTTCATTTTTAACCTCGTTCCAGGGAAAATCCCTGGAAACGAGGTTGGTCCTTTCCCGGTCCTTTATAGAGAAACCATTTACTTGGTTCTTCCGGCAGCACCAAACATTAATATTACCGCTGAAGTGTTAATTAGTTTTCTCTCTTGGTGTCCCTAAGACAAAAACTGACAAAAAAAATTCCGCCTTGGAGACTTGGAGTCTGATTTTCTAGAAAATTGTGGACTGGTTGTTCCGAATTTCCTGTGGGTATTCACCCAGTTTGCATAATCTCCAGAGAGAAAGGTTCTCTCATCAGATGATAAACGAAAATGATGTTTGACTCGGTCAGGTAAACATCAAGAAAGGGTTTGCTTAAAATAATTTTGAATTGCGAATAAATAAATTTCTTTACATGAAGCAGCTTACGGAGTCACTTCACTGTGATCCTTCAGCATTTTGTCGAGCTTTGCTCTTTGAAGTTTTCTTGTACCAGATCGGCAGATCTATGACAGATTTCAGAAAGGCAGGTTTTGATTTCTTTCTGTCGTTTGTCAACTTCTTTACTTCATAAAAGCATTCTTTCAGTGTTTTGCATTTAGTGCCGTTACAGTTTCGCACACTTCCCTTAGTTCTTCAATAAATTAATCGTCAACTTTCTCGAAAAGAAAAAAGAGTGGGAAGCGCGGTGGCCTCATGGTTAGTGCGCCCTACTCCGGAGCGAGCGGTCTGGGTTCCAGCCCTGGCCAGGGACATTGTGTTGTGACACTTCATTTACACTCACGGTGCTTCTCTCCACCCAGGTGTATATATGGGTATTGGCGATCTTAATGCTGGGGGGTAACCCTGCGATGGACTAGCATCCCATCCAGGTGGGAGTAGAAATACTCATAGCCGCTTCATGCTACTGAAATCGGGATAAGCTCCGGCCTGATGAGCCACTTGGCTTGTATGCTGACTTTACCTTACCTTTTCTCGAAAAGAGACGCTATTGTTGCAAGGCTCACACTTCTCATCACGTCGCGTGATAAAAATCTCCGAGATATTTGGAGATTTTATACCACGTGGTCCAGCCTTAGCCATGGGGGGTCTTCTCGCAACGAGCCGTCATTTTGAAAATCGCGAACCTATGAAAGATCGAAAGACTGGGCTCTAGTGTGTTCATTGTAATGGCGTCCTTCATGTGGTTTGTGGTCGAAGTCGATTTCGCTGGTTTATAAAGGTACGAAATTCTATAAGTATGCCTTTTTATGTCTAGGTAAGCTAAAGAATACAGCTTCACTTCTTTTCTTCTTACTGAATAAGGAAAACAATAGTGTGTGGCTGATACTTGATGTTCGTGCTGTGCAAGGAAGACCGAGGTTCCCTCTATTTTCTTGATTCAGCGGCCTAAACCAAGGAGTTCTATTCCCGTACACTTCACTCAACCAAATAGAAAACATTTAGGCTTATATTATAAGTGGAGGCTACTAATATTATAACAAGTAGTGGAGAGAGCAATGGAATGTATTTAGAAGAAATTAAGACACGCTGAATACGGGTTACTAGCCAGAGAATATAATTCACGTAAAAATGTTTGACGCTATTTTTCAAAACGATAATAATAAGGAAAGAATAACCTCGAGCATACTGGTCGATGTGAAGTGGTGTGATATTCACAAGGATTAGTTTATAGAGGCATGATTTTACCAATGGAAAATAATACAGTACAGCTTAATTTAACATATACACCCAAAAGAAATCAGAAGAAATACATTTATGCTTGCCTTAAACAAGGATTATTCAACATGTGTATGTGGCTAAATGGTTTTAGCCACTTTTATCTTTCCATTGGTACATTTAACTTAACAAGTACCACTACACAGAGGTTTACATTTGGAGGACTTGAATTGTCTTGTAAACAACTTAAATTTTGAATTTGGTCAAGTTGTAGGACAAAACATTGTGAAGTGGAAATTAATTTTGCAGTTGTTGAACATTCATTTAAGTGACTTTGTAGTGAGTTAGTTATGATTATCTTACTTCGCCCATGTTTACAATAATAACATACATGTAATATTATTATAACATAATATCAATATCACCAAAACCTTATCAGTCCTACATGTATATTTTTAGGACAGAATGGGCTAAGTTATTACTCATTCCCAGTTTATGGCCATGTGATCCACTATCAAAAAACTCTTAAAAGCCATAACAGACCCTCTAAAGGCTGCAATTTCTGTCCACATCTATCTGATACAACAAACACAAGCTATTTTAATTTAGGCACAAGTACTAATTAAGTAAACAGGGTTGGGGCATACTCAAATATTTACCTTTGAAAAGAAAGAGTAGCTGCATTTACACCACCAAGGAGGAGGAGGAGGAGGTGTATAAAAGGAAATCGATAAACAGCAATTCTAATTCTTAGTGGAATTTATAATTTTTGGGGGGGGCATGGGCGTATTTACCCCACTGCCCTGTCTAGGCTCACTCCTTTGGTACTTGCAATAC